GAAACGCAGTTTAAGAAACTGGAAACACTGGCATCGTTGCAAAAGTGAGAAATATTACGATTCTCATCGCAAAATCATCTTATCAAGGAACCATTATTACCGACAATTACAGACAGGACAGACAAAGTACATAAGCAACATTAAAATATTCGTAGACTTCTTCGACAATTAAGTTATAAACTGGCCTACGTGCCATTTCTATTTTATTATTTTTCGGTCGACCGACAACAACAACAATTCATTACACAGTGAGGTTAGATCAAGTCTTTAAACGGCGTTTAAAGCTATAAACGCCCAAAATCGGCCAGTTCGTTTTTGAAGTTCTTTAAACGTGTTTAAGCACAAACTAAGTTTAAGGTTCTGGTGAAATCCGTTTCGCGCGTCAAACTGAGTTTCAGACGTTAAACTGGTTTAAGATCACTTGATGAAAATGGGCCTAAGCCGGAAAGAGGAGAGGGGCGGACGACTCTGATCCCATTAAGTGCTTTAATGAAATAATGAAACCACATAGTTTTCAATGGCAATTGGAACAACGCGATTGGCTCGGGGGTTTATTTAATTAACCGGATATTATTAATGGTGAAACGAGCGAGGGCGTAAATATCTATATATTATATCTGTAAATCTACGAATCTGTACTCAGCTGATACACAGCACTAGTTCAGTGTCGAGCAAATTTCAAGAGAATGATCGTTTAGAAAAGCAACTGTGCCATGTGAAAATACATGTTACAATTGCATTATTTACGCAATATAATATTTAAATGAAATATCTGCATAGGAAGGGTGGTGTTCAAGAGTAGTTGGTATTTAATCATTTGCAAGGTGACTGTGTAACGAGCTATGAATTATGATCTAAATCAAGAGCATGTCGGGTGTTTGCCCAATACGTGCAATGCAGCCACTATCTGCTTATGAACATTTAATACCTCCGAATTCATAATAATCCCTTTAAGCTCGATTTTTATCTACTCATCATATTAAAAGTAGATACTTGATGTTGTTTTAACACACTTGCAAAAGCAATTTTTGACACCCTGTAGCTCTAAACCGACAGCGTTTCAAGATGGAAAAAAACTGATGCAGGTGAGACAAAGGAAGGTCATTTTTGCGGATTATTTTGAGAAAGTAAAAATTTAACCATTGCCATTTGAGACTGAAACACTGGACAATTCTTGCTTGCAAACCATTCCAATAACTAATTAACTGGGTATAGCAGAACGGACATTTTCCACATACGAGTAAGTTATATCTGGAGTACACACCTCTAAAACGTTTCAATGGTAATATGCATTAATTATTTAAATAATTTTTTGCCTTTCACGCCTTGATGTTGTGGCAAAAATACGAATGGAACGTATCTAAGTAACTCGGATACAATAAGTGATCAATTGCTGAAGTAGGTAAATTGTAAAAAATACCCCCAACCGGTGTCTTATTTATGTGCAGGGCCCAGGCAATCTTGATAAATTGTAGAAGACGATAGTTGTACGTCAGATGATTAAAGCCTTTGGTTGCTTGATTATGAGGCAAAGGGTGCTTCATACTCGCATACATACAAGTACAGTAATGAAAAACTCAGTCACTTTTTTAGCTGAGTTTCTCGCTGGGTTTTTTTCAATTTCTGTTGATATGGCGGGACCAACCACGAATATTATATCGATTTCCGATAAAAGTTAATCGTCTTTTCATTCTCGTTTTGACGCTGCTTCATTAGGGGTTAATTAAGATAATGGATGCATTATCTAGTCACGCGTCAATTTGGTGATTGAAATAATGTAGTTAATAGACTCAACACTCCAATATACCTACATCAGGCGATAAGTTTTGGGTTCGAAGAATCGAGAAACAAGGTCTCTAAATGTTAAGTAGTAGTAGTAGGTAGAAGATTCCATTTATATTGTGTATTTTTTCAAATTGCCACTCTAACTTGTCGAACTCAAAGCGAACAATGGCACCAACAACTTGGATTTTCCGATTCGAAGAACTTACCGAAAATGAGAGGGTGGCTACAAGTAGAACAATAAATAGCTCAGGAGCGGCGGTGGTACACATTTCGGGCAGTTTGGTCACATCGTCGCACATGTGCTCGTCGCTCCAACTTGTCCGCACCCCGCAGAATTCCGTGAGACACTGAGTGAGTGCGCAAGAAGTACCAGCCAACGGCGAGGTACTGCTGCTGCGGAAGAACTGGCGGTTCCGGGTCTATGTCAGCCTGCAGCAGGCACGCGGGTGGTTTCATTCCAATAGATGACTTTGCAATTCCTCAGAAAACAGCTGCTTAATCAGAATCTTCTTCAATTTCACACTAAACGATTTGAGGCGATGTTTCCATTCTAGTTAGAGGGTTTTTGGAGAATTTGCTTATTTACAGCCTCCAGAAGGAGTGTGTGAAATGCTATTCGTCATTTTTTCAAGTTAAAAAACTACACATTGTGTAATGGAAATGGCCTGGGGTACTCACGTTTGCAATGGGGGATCCAAATTGATGGTATTTCAGTAAATGAGAGCCCCCTTTGCGCCCCATTTACTGTCAAATATGACACTGACAAGCGGGAAGTTTCGCACGTGTTCTGGAGATTTCGAGAACCATCTAGGTTACCTGGAGGAAACTATATAAGCGATGACGAGAACCAGACAGAGGGAGTAAGACAGAAAATTCCGGGTCCGTTTAAACAAACACCTACATAGCCGACATACCAAAATAGCCAGACACATATAATAATACATTCCACCAAAACTCCAAAGACACTTAGACAAACTCACAGACTGGACAGACACCTGGAAAATTAAAATCAACGCGGAAAAAACACAAACACTTATGGTAACCACGCAACGCACAGACAAACTAAGACTCATCACTCTACATAACGAAAACAATTGCACAATAAATTTAAATTCAAATAAGCCTTTAAAGGCACTCACAAAAGAGCAAAAGTTCCGACGAACCAGCTCTAGCAGAAATGTCAGCAACGCAGTCAGAGGGAGTAAAGTGACAGTGCGAGTTTTCCGTGTGTTTTTGTTATTGTTTGTGAAGTTGACGTTAATTTAGAAGTCAGTTTGTTCCTGTTCCGTAGTTAAAGTGATACCGAGATGAATAAAAGTTGGAAGCAGAAGAAAGAGTTTGAAACCGGGCCATCCACGGTACATTTGGTGTCAGAAGTGGGATTTATCAGAATCCAAGTTGAATTTTGATGGAAGCAAGAAGTAAATCAAAGAAGGAAGACCCTGCAATGGAGAACCCCAGTTTGATTGCACTGCTCATGCAGATGAGCGACAAAATGGAAGACAACAGTAG